TCCCTCACCTGAGTGGTGCCCACCTTCGCTCTGGGGACTTCAGAGGCGCTTCCCTTCGCCTCGGCAGCATCCCAGCCATCCCGGTGCTGACTCAGGCCTCTCCCACTCCCCGCACGGCCCTTGTACCCAGGAGAAGCAGGCACATATGGAGTTAGACAGACAGACGGACACACACACAGACACCAATGCCCTTTTCACCCAGCAGGTCCGGGACTCCCAGCCTCTTACCCCAGATCCCATATCCCACTGGTCACCCACCATGCTGCACCCGACTCCCAGGTCCGAGGCTGTCAGCCTGGAGCTGGAGGAGACGGCCAGAGAGGGATTTGGGACGGAAAGCCTGTTTTTGGCCGTTGCCCAAAGCTGCAGCCCCGTCCAGGCCTGGGCTCTGGTTCTGGATGGGAGCGAGGACCTTGGGGCGGAATCCCGGACCCTGAAGTGAGAGCCTTTGTTCTTGGCGGTCCTGGGGCCCAGGAAAGCGCTTCTCCCTACGTGGTCTCGGGAGTCTGGTTTGGGGCCTCGGTGATTGCCATTCAGTGGGGCATTTCCATCGCAGGGTCTTCACCGGGGCAGCTGCCGGGTGGGGGTTCAGATGGCGGCAACTGATTTCCTACGTGGCTGCGCCCTTGGTGCTGCTTGAGGGGCTGTGCGACCCTATTGAACGCAGAACACTTCCGGGTGCGTGCTGACCCCATTTCACAAGTGAAGAAAGTCAGAGGTGGGAGGTAGTTGGCCCGGGTCCACAGAGCCAGGCAGCGGCCCCATTGGGGTTTTTGACCTGCTGGTCTCATTTCAAAGAGAATGTGCACTTGATGGACCTTAAGAATCCCCTGCGATGCTTACTAAGAGCCCAGCCACCCTCTGGAGAGTCTCCCATAGGCTGTCTGGCCGGCCTCAGGGACCTGTGTCTTTTTTTAAAAATATATATATTTTATTGATTTTTTACAGTGAGGAAGGAAGAGGGAAAGAGAGTTAGAAACATCGATGAGAGAGAAACATCGATCAGCTGCCTCCTGCACACCCCCTACTGGGGATGTGCCTGCAACCAAGGTACATGCCCTTGCCGGAATCGAACCCGGGACCCTTGAGTCCGCAGGCCGTCGCTCTATCCATTGAGCCAAACCGGTTAGGGCAAGGACCTGTGTCTTTAACATGTGCACGGAGTGATTCTTACAAGGCAGCTGTGGGGAGCACTACCTCCAGGAGTTTGTGGGTTTGCTGAGCTCGGACGTGCGATTTTTCCCCTGGGTATCCTGTTCTTCCTTTTCTCATTGCTGTGAGATTGGCTCATCAGACCTAAGTCTGCCTTTCAGAGGGCGCTGGGGTGACTAGCCGCCTGAATCATCTTCGGACACTGTTGGCCGGGACCCGTAGGGTTTTTCCAGAATCTCACAATCAGACCATTGAAGACTTGGTTTTAATCTGATCAGATCTCTGTTGTTTGGGAATTCTCTTAGCTTCTGCTTAGGGTCTGGAGTTCTCAGAAGGTTCTGGTTTGTTCCTGGATCGTTGCCTCATCAGAGAGACCTCTGACCCCGCAATGGGTGACGGGTGACGGCATGTTTGCCGAGCAGGCGCTCCGCCAGGGCATTTCTCTCACAACTTCCCCTCCCACGCGTTGATGTGAGAACGTGAGCAAATACCAAACAGGTTTGTTGGGGTGATGGAGTGCCCCCCCCGGGGGGGCTTAGGATGGGCAGGAGAGGAGAGACGCGCCCCTGTATGACTAAGAGGCGGCAGGTGCCGTGTGCAGGGCGGGCCCCGGAGCCGGAGCGCCCTAGGTGGACCGCCCTGGGTGAAGTCCAGGCTCCAACCTCCCTCGGAGCCGTGCTCCTGTCTGTCAAGGGAGGAGAACCAAGGGACTCCCCGGCGAAGACCAGTGAGGGCCACACGCGCTGAGGGGAGAGTGCCCGGACGGTGCTCTGTGCGCAGTGGCTCTGGCACTGCCCTCTTTCTGTTTCGGTGGTGGGACCCCGAGGCTGGGAGGGGGGGAACAGCAGAAGGTGGTAAGCATGGTTCCACCACCGCCCTCGGCACCCCATCCGCCGCCCTCCTCTGCACCGCTTCCCGCAGCCTGGAACCCTCTGTCCCACACCTCCTCCCTCTGTCCCACACCTCCTCCCTCTGCGGCACTTGCCTTGCTCCTCCTCCCAAGACTTCATCCTGCCACCCCCCCGCCCCCCCCCCCCCCAGGGCTTTGTAGGGACCAGGGCTTCCAGGTAGGGTTTCCCATGCAGAACCCTCCCTCCGGCCTGGGCCTTCAGGTGGGCCATGGCCTCTGAAAGGGGGCGAGGAAGGGCTTGGGCAGGGGCCAGGCAGGGAAAACCGGGACCAGAAGGGTGAGGGTTAGGAAAAACGGTTTTTTAAACCCCTTTCTGGGGAAGGGGCTGGGGGGGCCCCCCTTTAGAACTTTCGGGGGGATAGGGGGTCTCTTTTTTACATTTCTTCCCAAAAAAAGGGGCCTCCGGATTTGGTTTCTTGGCCTGGGGGTTTTGGGGATAATGTTTTGAAAAAAACCAAATATTTCTCCTTTTGAAAAAAAAGTTTGCAAAGTTTTATGAAAACAAACAGAGTGGGGTCCCCCCCGGGGGAAAAGAGGAACGCGAGTGGAGGGGCCCGTTAGGAAAAATTACTCCCATGGTTGGTAACAAGAGACCTGGCGGGGGGAAGACCCGTTGTGGATTTTGCCGATACGTACGGAGGAGGCCCTTCCCTAATTTAATACCTCCCAGAGATTAAGGGAGAGCCGTGTGCTCTCCGC